GTGCAGCTGTAAACTGTCCCAGTAAAAGCAGCAGCAGTTTTTAATCTATTTCTCCTCTTCTCTCCATTCCTTGTGTTTTCCCCCTCTTTTCTATCTTCTCAAAAAGCCTATGAAATTAACATGCCAACTAAAACTTATATGAATGGAGCTTTAATGTTAGAAATGTAGGCCACGATTCTGAAAGCTGTTCCAGGCGGGCAGATCCCTGCATTCTTGCAGAGCCCCCTGGAATTAATGGAGCTGTGCACAGAGCAACTTGCAAGATCAGGGCTTCAATCTGATGTATATGCCACAAAATGGCAGAAGACAGCAGACAGCTTAATCTGAAATACAACACCACATTCGGTGATAGGCAGTTGAACTGCCTGTAGGCTAGTGCACAGGATGAACACAATGGGGAAGTGGGGTTAGCCAAGAATTCAAGGAGGGTGCCAGGGTAGGGCTGGCTTGGAGTTGGGACTGATTGAAGGAGATGAAGGGAGCAGATTGGGTGGGGCCATGGGGTAGCGCAGAGCATAGGCAGGAGTGGAGTTCTGTACGAGTATTAACATCTATAACAGGGGTAGGCAACCGAAGGCGGCACGCGAGCTGATTTTCAGTGGCACTCACACAGCCTGGGTCCTGGCCACTGGTCTGGGGGCTCTGCATTTTAATTTAATTTTAAATGAAGCTTCTTAAACATTTTAAAAACCTTATTTACTTTACATACAACAATAGTTTAGTTATATATTATAGACTTATAGAAAGAGACCTTCTAAAAACGTTAAAATGTATGACTGGCACGCGAAACCTTAAATAGGAGTGAATAAATGAAGACTCGGCACACCACTTCTGAAAGGCTGCCGACCCCTAATCTATAACCTTGATGTTACATGAGTATATATTTTTGCATTTCCGTACACTGGAATCGCCAGCCAAGACCAGATCCCTGCACTTCATGGACAGTGACCAAGTTGCAAGGGACTCTGCTTTACCCTTGGCTGAAAATATAACTGACCTCAGGAGTCCTCAAGTCTAGCCCTGCCTGCTGCCAATGGCTGTGACTGGACCTCAAGCATGGCAGCGGCTTTACTATTCACCTCGATCCTGCAACGCCCTCCAGGACATGCACCACAAAGGGATCTTTAAGGCCATGGGGTGACTCGCAGTGACTGCAGATTTCCTGGCAATTCCAGTATCTGCCACAGAAAAGTCATTTTTGCCAGGAGAGAGAGGTACAGAGGATCTCAACAACAGCCATGGATTCTTACCGGTGCATGTTGGACACAAAAACCAAGAGGGTCTTTGGGAATTGTCCCCACTAGCTGCCAAGGCCATTCTGAGAACAGAGTGATGTGATTTCCCCACGCCAGGTGCTAAACCCGTCGTTCCACCCACTCTTTACCTTCTCCTTGGTTTCCAGAGTTTCTGGATCCACTTTGCGCATGAAGTTGGTCTCGGTGCTGACATAATAGTCTCCCTTGTACACCACGTAGTTCACACTGCAGTTATCCGTTGGCCCTGAAACAAAATCCCAGAGTAATGCAGATGCATTAAGCTCACGTCTCACTACAGCAAGTTAGGCATATTTAAACAAATAAATCAGTTTCCCTAACGACACAAATCCTTGTCAGGACAGACAGATTAAAAACATCTCAGCGATTTATAGCAGCACACAGGGCTCTATCTATACAGGTGAGTTCATGCCAAAGAACAAAGACATGTTTTTAATCCAAACCAAATAAATCTGATCCCTTTTGGTTCAGGTACTACTAAGTCATTGTACAGGCTCATTTCAGTTTCTTGCAACTAAAGGAAACCAATGATATTACAAACGGAATCATGCAGACCTGAGGGAAAAGCAACCCCTGGCAAGGGCTGAAATGTCCTTTATTATAAGGCCAGACAACCAGTTGCCAGTATTTATCAGAAAGTATGAGCAGAGAACCCAGACTGCACTGTGTACAGGAGGCCAGGTCAGCAATGTAAAAAGCAGAAGCAGGCCCCATAGTGGGACAATGCAATTCAAAGGGAATGCAAGGGGCATTGGCTGATCACTTGGGACATTAATGGGACTGGACAAAATAACAGGAAATGTACAAAAGGGGATTATCTGGCACTGACTTCTATTGGGAGCTGGTGGGTGGGGGACGCAAGAGGAATTGATTGGAAGAGACCCGGGAGGCATTTTCCATCTCAACTTCACCAGGGCCTTGTCTACACTAGAGAAGAAATCAGTTTGTAACTGAACTGGATGCATTGAAACAGTTTAAGACAAACATTTCAGCACCAACATGTGAAACGGATTTGTTACACCCTGTACTCACACTAGTGTTGTCCTAAACCATTTCAGCTGCAATGGCTACTGGGTATCTAGCCTTCAATTCCTAGCTCAGCTCCTGGAAGCATTCTAGATTGCAGAAGGCTAAACAAGTGAATCAGTAGCTCTTTGACTGGTTATTAAACCCACTGACAGATGGCCTGTCTAATTATTTATTAGACCAGTTAGGACATATCTAGGTGTAGACACAAGTGTTCTACAAATGTTCTAGAGGCTTTAACCAATTTAATCTCTCAAGTGTAGACCAGGCCAAAGGAGCAGTCAGTGGGCCCTGACTGATTTGCTGGGAAGGGATGGGTTGCAGGCTGAGCCGCGTTTGCTGGCTTCATACTGGAAGCTTCATCCCTCCTCTGTGCTTCACTCAGGAGATGTTAACTAACCAGCGGTGGGGGCTGGGGAGCGCCGTGGAATCCCCCGCCGGCAGTGGGGGCTGGGGAGCCCCATGGAATCCCCCGCCACCCACGGGGGCCGGGGAGCTCTGGGAAATCCCCCACCACCCACGGGGGCCAGGGAGCTCCGGGAAATCCCCCGCCACCCACGGGGGCCAGGGAGCTCCGGGGAATCCCCCGCCATCTGCAGGACTAGGAGCTGGGGCGGGGGACAGCTGGGACAGTCCTCCACTGCTGTGGCAGCTGGGCTGCTGCGAGGCCCCAGTATCACGGAGGTCACAGAATCTGTGACTTCCATGACCTCCGTGACGTACTTATAGCCTTAACTATCATACAACAGCTAATGGTACTTCCACTTCTGTGTGCCATCCTCTCCTCACCCATGTCAGTCTCCCGCCCCTTACCACAGGAAGGAAAGGAAAGGAATAGCCTACATACCCTAAAAGCTTAGCAGGGCATAGGGATTTCAAGACAGGTTTGTATCAAAAAGAATGGAGGATTGTGTAATGCTCATTACAGCACCCTACAGGGTGTTCCTCATGAGAGAAGGTGCATAATTTACACAACCCTTGGAATGAGGTGAATCAAATTTTTTAACAAACCCAAAAATTAAGTAAAGGGCATCAAAGGGACCAATGGCGAGAGGTGCTGAGCTACGCAGGGCGCCCGTCAACTTCACCTGTAGCTGTGTGTCCCCCCAGCACCTCTGGAGACCAGACCCAAGGTGCACAAACATTTTAGTGAGCTACATTTCTGATTTTGGGTGGAAACAACATGGGGGGGAGGGGAGCCAAAATCCCAAGTTAAGTGTGTCTATTTCAGATGAGTTTGGCTCGGAGTTGTTTCTTCAGAGGGGTGATCCTCACAGAAACATAACCACTAAAATTTCCACACAGCTCCCTTCAAACCTAAAAGCTGTTCCTCCAGGCAAATATCACCCACTTGGGATGCATACCACCTCCAAGAACATTGCTTTCAGCTAAGGAACATACTTACGTGGCATCTCAAACCACGATATGAAGCGCCCAAAGATGCTTTTGCACGGGTCCGGCATAGCCAGCGTTCCAAACTCCGAGACCACGATCCGATTGTGCCGGCTGTTAGTCACATAGGAATCACTCTGCAGGAACTTGCTCCTGTAAGTCACGATGCCATTTTCCAGTTGGAACTGATGCAGCAGGGCCATGCCATCAAACCAATGGTTAAATCTTCCAGCAGAGCAGAGAAACAAAATCACAGAAAGAAGGATCAGTGCAGTGCCACACCCTCCCACGCCTTCTCCTAAATCCCTGGTGTTTGTCATGATCTGAGAACCGGCTCCTACAAACACTTTTATCATGAAGCTACTTGTGTGTGCGGGTGGAAGAGAGCATGAACACAATGGAAAAACTCAGACATGCAGCTACTCATGTGCCTACATGTCTGCAGGCTCAGGGTCCAAGTTTAGAGACACGCTAAAATTCTCAAAAGCATCTAGGGGTTCGTCTACACAGCAACCAACAGCAAGTCTCGGACCTCAAGTGCTAAAAATAGCTGTGTAGACATTTGGGCTCAGACTGGAGCTCAGGCTCTAAGGCAGGGGTGGTCAACCTGTGGCTCCGGAGCCATATGCGGCTCTTCAGAAGTTAATATGCGGCTCCTTGTACAGGCACCGACTCCGGGGCTGGAGCTACAGGCATCAATTTTCCAATGTGCTGGGGGGTGCTCACTGCTCAACCCAGGGCCGTAGCAACAAAGAACGTGGCCCCCTCCGAACATATGTCCGGGCGGGGCTCCTTACAATGCAGAAACTGGAATGCGGTATTTATTTTGCCACTTTTAGGGGCCCCCTTCCTGCGGGGCCGCCTCCGGTCGGAGGGTACGGAGGGCGCTCGCTACACCTCTGGCTCAACCCTTGGCTCTGTCACAGGCCCTGCCCCCACTCCACCTCTTCCCACACCTTCCCTGAGCCTACTGTACCCTCACTCCTCCCCCTTCTCCCAGAGCCTCCTGCACACCACAAAACAGCTGTGTGGGGAGGGAGTAGGAGGCGCTGATGGGCAGGAGGTGCTGGGAGCTGGCGGGGAGTTGATGGGGGGCTCAGTGGAGTAGCCAGGGTTGCTACCGAGAAGCGGCAGAGAAAAAAGGCGCCAGTCCTTCGGCGGCATTTCGGCGGCCCTGTGCATGCGCCGAAATGCTGTCAAAAGACGGAGCGGTGCATGCACAATTATTCTTATTTCGGCAGCCCCGCTCCCCCGGGCAGAGCGCCGGCCCCGCTTCCCCATCCGGAGCACTGTCTGGGGCACCGAGACCCCCAGCCACGCTCTCAGGGCTGTAGTCCCGGGGAGAGCGCCCTGAGTCCCAGCCCCGCTCTCACGGCCAGAGCGCCAGATGAGCGACGGAAGCCCGCGGCCCCGCTGCGCCGGCCGGAGCGACGGGAGCCCGCAGCCCCACTGCGCCGGCCAGAGCGACGGGAGCCTGTGGCCCTGCTGCGCCGGCCGGAGCGATGGGATCCCACGGCCCCGTTGCACCGGCCGGAGCGACAGGAGCCCGTGGCCCGCTCTCCCGGGAAGAGAGCGGGCCCCGCTTCCCCATCCAGAGCGCTGTCTGGGGCACTGAGACCCCCAGCCACGCTCTCAGGGCTGTAGTCCCAGGGCGAGGGCCCTGAGTCCCAGCCCTGCTCTCCTGGCCGGAGCGCCAGCCGGAGCAACAGAAGCCCGCTCCCCCGCCCAGAGTGCCGGCCCCACTTCCACAGCCGGAGCGCCGCCCAGAGCACCGCGAGCCCTCCGGCCCCTCTCCACCGGCCGGAGCGCTGTCCTGAGGGCCGCAAGCCAGGGTCTGCCTCCCCCAGCTGGAGCACCGGGCGGAGCGCTGCTACTCCGGGCACCGCGGAGCAGGGCCACCGAAAGAAGTGGAGCGGCGCGGAATTCTGGGCTCGGGGGAGCAGGCGCTCCCCCTGCTCCTCCCCTAGCTACGCTCCTGGGGGGGCTGCTGACTTGTTACTGTGGCTCTTTGGCAATGTACATTGGTAAATTCTGGCTCCTTCTCTGGCTCAGGTTGGTCACCCCTGCTCTACAGCCTGGAGGGGAGGAGGGGGTTCAGAGCCCAAGCCCAAACATCTACGCAGCTGTTTTTGTGATCTAAGCGAGACATAAGAAGTAATTCTTCTGCTCTACTCCGCGCTGATTAGGCCTCAACTGGAATACTGTGTCCAGTTCTGGGCACCACATTTCAGGAAAGACGTGGACAAATTGAAGAAGGTACAGAGAAGAGCAACAAAAATGATGAAAGGTCTAGAAAACACGACCTATGAGGGAAGATTGAAAAAATTGGGTTTGTTTAGTCTGGAGAAGAGAAGACTGAAAGGGGACATGATAACAGTTTTCAAGTACATAAAAGATTGTTACAAGGAGGAGAAAGAAAAATTGTTCTTTTTAACTACTGAGGCTAGGACAAGAAGCAATGGGTTTAAATTGCAGCAAGGGAGGTTTAAGTTTGGACATTAGGAAAAACTTCCTGTCAGGATGGTTAAGCACTGGAATAAATTGCCCAGGGAGGTTGTGGAATCTCCATCATTGGAGATTTTTAAGAGCAGGTTGGACAAACACCTGTCAGGGATGGTCTAGATAATACTTAGTCCTGCCATGAGTGCAGGGGACTGGACTAGACAAGGTCCCTTCCAGTTCTATGATTCTATGAAGCACAACAAGCCCCATGAATCTGGCTGTAGACCCAGGCTCTGAGACTTGCTGCCGCTTGCAGTATAGAAGTACCCTAAAGGTAAGTCTACACTGGAATAAAAGACCTGCGGCATAGCCATGGCTCTCCTGGATCAGCTTACTCGGGCTCGCAGGGGTTGGGCTGCAGGGCTAAAAATTGCTGCGTAGACCTTTGGGTTTGGGCTGGAACCCGGACTCTGTGGCCCTCCACATACGTGGGGTCCCGGAGCTCAGGCTCCAGCATAAGCCCAAATGTCTGTGCAGCGATTTTACAGCCTAAGCCCAATGAGCCCAAGTCAGCTGACCTGGGCCAGCCACGGGTGTTTAGTTGCTGTGTAGATGTACCCTAAGTGGCTTAAGCGTCTAAGTCTCATTTCCAAAAGTGACTTTAGGCACCTAGAAGCCTGAGTCCCATTCACTTTCAATGACTCAAGTGCCTAAGGGTCTTTTGAAAACGGGCCTTAGTGCTTTTGAGAATGTTACCCACAAGCTTTCATGGACTGAAACTATGTTGTTCTACAAAGCCCCTGCATGCTGTCAAAGTTAGATTTAGGACTCACAATTTGTTAGACCACTCTGTTTATTAGCACAGCACTCTGCTAATACACTCAGATAATGTGAGCACCATGCAAGACCCACACTACCTTATTTTATACAGATAAAAAGGGCGCAAACTTAACAAGAAAACAAAAAAAGCAAAACTGGCAAGTTTACCCGAGGCTAAACATACATATTTAATTTCCTTACTAACTTTTACGGATCTCCGGATAATATTCCACCATTAGCTTAAGTAAACTCATTGTTTATGCCTAATGTTTCTTTTCCTAACACCTGTATTTTAACATTCCTTATTTCTGCTTAAAGGTACATACAGCATTTCTTTAATCCATTCTATTTTTACATTATAATTCATTCTACTTTCACAATGCTTATGGTGCTGCAGAAATAGAACACAAATTAGGACTTGTCTTCACTAACACTTAGTGCATGGCAAGCTGGGGTGTAAATCTATCCCCAAGAGCCTGCTGTGTGTTGAATGTCTAACCCAAGGGCGGCAACCTTTCAGAAGTGGTGCGCCGAGTCTTCATTTATTCACTCTAATTTAAGGTTTTGCGTGCCAGTCATACATGTTAACGTTTTTAGAAGGTCTCTTTCTATAAGTCTATATTATATAACTAAACTATTGTATGTAAAGTAAACAAGGTTTTCAAAATGTTTAAGAAGGGTCATTTAAAATTAAATTACAATGCTGATCTTACGCCACCAGCCTGCTCAGCTCGCTGCCAGCCTGGGGTTCTGTTCACCTAGGCCAGTAGCGGCCTGAGCAGGGCCTATGGCCGGGACCCCAGACCAGGGGGGGAGGGGGCGGGGAGTGTT